CAGGAAAGTTGTAAAGATAAGGCCTCAGTTTCCTGTTCCAACCCACACTAGAAAACCCGCATCTGGATGAGGCTAGTCTCAAAAGAAACTTTCTTCCTGGTTTAGAATGAAATGTAAAATGGATTAGCCTCACTCACTCTTGCAGGACATGTTTGGCCAGAGGGGTGCACAAAACAGTATTTGGCTTGAAGTTTTAACACTTTTTTTTTTTTTTTTTTTTTTTAAGGCCAGTCCTGACTTCACAGCAATGCTATAAAACCAACAGTAAGCCTCGTCAACTGTTGAGCTGGCCCTGGTCTTGATGTTGTCTGTACAACCATTTCATCCCAAATTTTACCCACTTTGGGACTTGGATTGTGCATTTGCTGTGAGCCTAAGGGCTACGCTTAATGGCACCCATACACATGCATCGAGGCTGCACCAACACACTAATTACAATACATTGGAGCAGACTCAGGTAATCGAGTCTGCCAGAGCATGGTAATTAGACTCCAGCGTCACGTGTATTGGCATCCCCATGTTGAAAAATGGTGGTGGAGGTGCTTTAACTGAAGGTCTTTCGATGAGCTTTAGTTAAAACACCCCCACTGCCACTTCTCAGGGCAGGGACGTTGATACGTGTGATGCTCCAGGCGCTTTAATTAGAGCGGCTCCAGAGCTGCTCTAATGAAGTGGGGGGGGGATAGAGGGAGAGGTGACTGGGGGTGGGGAGGGGGGGGGGGGGGGGGGTGTCCCTGGCATGTGTATAAATGCCCAGAGCATCTTCATTTTAAATATCAAGCTGGAGCCATACATTACCCCAGACTGGCCCAATCTATCCTCCACCCTCTGGACACTACACTTCTCTTCAAATGTTACACTTGAATTTCAAGGCACTCTTAAAAATATTCATTGGATATTGGGATTTAGCAGAGGTGACTCAGCCAATATTCTTACTTTAGTCATTTGCAGCTGCAGTTCCACTAGTTAAAACATTGTAAAATTGATTTTATGTCAGTCAAAATGTACTCCTCAGGGAGGGCAGAGCTATGGAAGGACTCTTTATTTAAGTAGGAGTGAAATCCCACTTACATTTTAAGATAAAAGCATTATGTTCTCATCATCCCTTGGATTGTATGCTTTGTATACAGACACAGGAGATAAGATGTGTTTTTAAGATCACGTGTAGCAGTATCACCTAATCTCTTTCATTGCCTTGGAGGAAGGCAGAAGAGACCTCTGGTTTGTCCTCGGGAAATTCAGACTCTTTTGTTTTTTCCTGATAAATAATTTGGGGGACAAGCCTGAAAATCTTTACTTGACTTGAAAGCAGTCCTGGTAAGTTATGTGGTATTGGGTGTTGAATTCCAACATGATTTATCAGTCAAAACATTACCATTTAACTTTTCTAAAATGGTGTAAAATATTAATCTCTGAGGGCTGCAGTTTATAGAAGGTACAGTGTGTTGGCTTCCAGCTCCAGCAGTTCTCAAAGCTGTGGCCACCAAAGTGCATTCAAAGTTGAAGTGAGAGTTGGGACAAAGGCAAGACAGCAATCACACACTAAGGCATGTTGCACAACAAGAATACTGACTTTTTAATGGAATAGAATATTGCTTCTAGCCGTGCTTGGAAGTAGATGCCTTAAAATTCTCACCAGCCACTTGGCCTAATGGTACTTCTTATCACTGATTTAGCACTGAGCAGATAGCCAAAATAACTCTTAATTCCTAGCATATTTATATGTCAAAGTGCAATTCGTAATTCTGCTTATACTCCGATATATTAATTGTCCAAGTGATAGTGATGGCTTCTTATCTTGCTTGGAGTGAATTCTGTTGAAGATACAGAAAGGCTTTTGGCAGTCTCTTCTATAAGATGAAAAATTGAGCTGCTTTTTTTTATGGGCTCTCAAGTGGAAATTAAAGATCAATGTGAGATCTTTCTTGGTTGTACCAGTAGATTTAGCCTTTAACTTTTTTCATTCAGTAAATCAGGGTCTGGCATCCCAGGCACAGCACTTGAAACGTATAATTATGCGAGTTTCTCCATACAACTCAAATCCACCCCTGGGTGTAATTTTCTCGTGATTTGTGATGCTCATGTAAATTGTAGAAATATTGCATATGTGCATGACGTGTCTGGAGTGGTGGAAGAGGGGGGAGATCCATCTGGGTCTACCCCTTCCCCGTTGCCCCAAGACCCAGATCTGTGTAGAGACAATCTCTCCCTCCAGGGGGACTGGGTCCTGTCTGGGTCCACTCCTTACCCCAGCAATGTGGGCTCAGGGAAAGGAGAAACTACCAGGGTGGAGCCAGCCAGAGAGTCAAACCGTCAGGAGCAGCAGCAGCAGCAGGTACCTATGGACCCTGGTGACACCATCAGACCATGCCGTCTCCAACTTTCATTGTGGGCATACTTTCTTTGCTGATTAATTGGCTGCTCCATTCACCTCCTGCTTTCCCCACTCCTAATCATTTTGCTGAAGCCTCTTTCCATCTGTCCTCCATTGTGTTCCTCTTCATCCTTCTCTCGGTCTCTTCAACTTTTAGGTTCTTCATCTAGGTGTCTCCCTTATTCCCTCCACCCTCCCAGATCCTTTGCTTGCTATTAATTTCCTTCCTTTACTTCCCATTCTATCACTTCTCCTTACTACCTCATATGTGAGGAAATCAAAAATAAAATAAACCTAGCCACTTTAAAAGAATTGAAAAATAAAAGGACCAAAATGTCATGGAACCAGTGACATTTCATTTTATTCTGCTTTTGGAATCTGTCCCTTTCTCCTGGTCCTTGCTGTTTAGACTTTGTAATCTTTTTAGGGCAGGGATTCTTTTAATTGTGCGCTGTGCCTAGCACAGTTGTACCCAGATCCTGTTTGGATCCTCTCGGTACTATAGTCAAAGAGTAAGTGATGGTTTGTACCCTGCACTGCCATGATGATGGAACCATAAGAATTATCTACCAATTAAGAATGTTTAAGACTGGTAATATCAATTACTGCCTAGCTCTCTCAGTGTTTTTCTGATGAGCTAAAGTAGTGGCTTTTTCATAAGCCGTCTTTAAAACATATTTTGAGAACAAATATAGCACTAGGAAAACATTGTGCATCTGAACTGTCTTAGAGACTTAGATGAGACTAAGTGCATCAAATATCTTTGCAAAGATGAAGGACAAGATTTTGGCATTTTTTGCATTGAATATAGTCAAACCTGAGAGCTCAGTCAGTTCCTCATAGTTGAATTCCTAATTCTTGTACAGTTTGTAAATTCTGGTTACCTTGCAAGATAAAATGTTATGCTTGAAGCTAATTGCTCTTCAGTGAGCCAATAAACTCAGTGCACTTAGAGAATTATAAGCTCTTAAAGTTAAATGGCTAGTGGTGTTGGCCTGTCTATTAGCTAAATTGGTTTGATATAAAAAAATTCTAAGCTCTGTTAATGGAACTTGTACGTTCCGTGAGCTAAAATATTCACGATCAAGAAATGTATGAGCTCTGTTGAAACGGATGTACCTTACAGGTTCAGATGTCTATATGCGTTATCATATGCAATGCCTATAAGGCTGATTATTCCATGAAAGATTTTTGGCGGTACTATAAGCCACGAGTCTAAGCTTCGGAGTGGGTTAATTACTATGGAAATCACTTTAGCCAATTTTATTATTCTTTTGGGGGACTGCGGTTAAGAACATATGTATAAAAAAGTGAGTGGGATTTTAGTGACTTGTAGAACCTGAAGGCACTTGAAGTGCAATTGTCACTTGACTGATTCAGCACTTTCATCGGAGCGTTCGAAAAGTCCGAATTTCTCTCCTTCTAGTGTTGAACCCTTTTCTGTATGGGAGAGATCCTTTGATTCTGTGTAGACCCATAGCCCCCAGAACAGGGGAGATTTGACGCAAATGTAGATAGACTTCCTGTTTGTTCCCCATAGTCTCAAACTTAGAGGAAAAAGTCTCTACAAGGAGCACTCAGTTCCTGCCAAGTGCAGCTAACCTGTGCTGTCTGCCTGAATTTGCAAAGAGCCTGAAATAACAGGTAATCCAAATTAGAGGGTACAAAATCAGTTTTCTGTGATACTTCAGCTGTTGATGTTGAAGATCACACAGTGTATTACTATTGAAGATGCGTAAGAAAGAAAAGAACACGTGAATAAGAGTTGTATTGGATTTTTTTCTAAAGTTGTCATAAGGAGGCCAGGAAGGGCTAACTGCAGGAGCAGAAGAAATGCAATATTTAGAAAGTGTGTAATCCTTTAGCACATGCCAGGGCTGCATGAGGAAAAGATAAGATGTTGGTTTCATTTTCCTGAAGGGAAGGTTAGCTTTCCATAGTTTAGGAAACTGCTCTAAGCCAAGTAGCCTTTCTGTGAATGTACTTTGGTGCTATATCATTCCTAATAAATGCATGGTGAGAAAAAACTATTCTAGAAGAGGACGCATGAGGAAGGCTGCTTGGATTGGTGAGAAGGGGAGCAGATTTTGGAGGCAGGAAGTGTCAGATGCAGAAGAAGCAAGTCTGTCTAGCTGTTCTGCAAACACAAATATATCACCCAGCTGTTAACCTCAGCCCAACTTTAGATTGTCAGCGCTCATAATGGAATGAGAGGAGGAATTGGTTAATGGAACAGTTTGCATAAAGCTGCTATACATTTGCGGAAGAGAAATACCCAGGAATCTCCATTCACAGATTTTAAGATGAGAAAAGGACCATCACTTGGCCTGACCTCTCATATAGCAGGCTGTAGAACATCTCCTGGTAATCAGAAATATCATCCGAATGCAATTTTTGTATTGAAGACAAGGTATATTTGTATGTCTAAACCTAGTGACTGGATACGTAGGCACTGAATGAGACATGATCATGTGAACCTATCTTAGTGCAGAGAGCCTTCAACGTAGACTAATTACGGGCACAGGAGCAAGATGAAAAGACCTTGCATTTCAGAGAGAACATCTCAGCTACTTGCATATTTCCAGGTGTTTTTACATTCTGTGCAGACTTACGGCAAACAGCACCAGGGTAGGCTGCAAAATACCACTTCACTGAAAGTTGGATGGACCGGTGAGAGCTTGAAACTCCTCTGCTCTGATTGCCAGTCATGAGGTCAATCCTTGGTATTGGCTACTGTATATAGAACGTCTTAAATGGCTGGTACCTCAAAAATGCCTTCTCCCCTGGGACTTGGGGCACTGATTCCTCAGCATAACTGTGTGAGGCCCAAGGCAGCATCATGTTTTATGCCTGTGTTCTTGGGAAATGTTGTAATCTAAGCCACGTAAAGTGCTTGAGTACTGCACTGATGATTGAAAGGAATGGGTAAGGACTTGAAGTGGGAGGCGGGGGGAAAGGAGAATAGTATTTCCTTATCTTTTGCCCTTGTCGTCCTCTGAGATCAGAAAAATTAGGGAACAGCATCTGCTGGTCAGTCGGAGATGAACTAGTTGTGTTGACTCCCTAAGTCAGGAGCGTCAGATATGTGGCCTGTGGGCCCAGCCATCTGGCCCATAAGACCCACACAGGGCACAGTGCAAACCCATGGTGTGGGGCCAGTCCACAGGCCAGCTTGGGCCTGCAGATTCCCTGCCTCTGCACACCTGATGTGGCAGCTAGTTCAACTAGTCTGGGACTCATGCTGCATGAGGTGCAGATCCCAAAGCCAGGACACACCATGCATGGCACAGTCCAGCTAGAGCGGCAGCCACACTGCTCTGCACGTGGTACTTGCTCCAGCCGGTCCAGGACCTGGGGTGCTTGCAGGTGGCGCGTGCAGCACAGGTCCCGGACTGGCTTGAGCAGGCGCCGCACTTGGACAGTGCAGTCCTGAAGTGTGCAGTGGATCAGGTATGCGAGGAGAGTGAGAGGGGGGAAGGAGGGTCTCTGCACCCGATCCAGCCTGCAGACTGAAAAATGTGCCGCACATCCCACTGACAGGGCCAGATGAGTTTGACACCCTTGCCCTAAGCAATATTCAGAAGCAGCGTGTTGATGAGAACTGCCACACCTGCAGGTGGCTGTCAGCTTAATGGGGTTAATCTTCCTGAACCAAATGTGCATATCAGAAACTTTCCAACCCTTGCTGCAGTGTGCCTCTATGGCAAATATTTCCAGTGTTAAAATATTTTCATTGCTGTTCAGGAGGAAGTAAAATACAGTGACATATTATTTAATGCTTGTAGTTCCTGGTTTGGTTTTAGATGCATGCAGGTGTGGTTAATCTTGGTGATAAACTGAAACTGTAAGGTATTTTGAGAGATGGTGCTGTCACTGTCTCCATCTGTTAATGTTTAAATACTGACCTACACAGTACCAAGCTTGCAGTGCTTTGCTGCTTAGTACTGATATTTCCTACTATAACAAAATGGGTCAGTAGGAGACTGCTTTAGTATTCAGCTGGATGAAACAACCAATGGGTTTTTAGAAATAGCCACAGGGAAAAGCTAAATGTTGAATTTCCTGAGGAATTAGAGGCAATGCTGCATTGTTATCATAGTTATCAGGTATGGTTAACAATCTTACTCAGTCCTTATGGTTAACAGTCTTATCCAGTCCTCACCCATCTGCATTGTTATATGGGGAGAAGTATGAATCTAGACATCCATAAGAAATATTTTATGATAATCCTTTCAAGAAATAATTTTAATGGTCCATTCTCTTATTTAAATCAAATGGTTGACTTATCCTTCACTACCCCCTTGTGGTCATTGGCACTCAAGAGCACAAGCATTTTACAGCTATCTGATGCTGTGTTAAATGCAGAAAATCATGTTTTAAACTGACATTTCTGTATAGTACTAATAGTTAAACTTTTTTTCTTATGCATGATTTATATTGTTAACTTCTCTGCCTGGACACTGAAAGCCTGAAGCTGATTTCTCCTGGGCTTAATCTGTTCATTTTCAAGTTCTCAATGTCCAAGCCGCAAGTAATACAGTGTAATAAATAATAGCTGACATTGGCATTAAAATTACACACACACACACTCTCTCTCTCTCTCTCTCTCTCTCTCTCTCTCTCTCTCACTTGATATATATATATATATATAGGTCAAGGCTTGATAGCAACTTCGTAAAATATCTTAAATTAGTGTCAAATAAGCAAATGTTCTGCAAAGCCACTACTGCCAAGCTAAAAGAGCACTCACTGCTATGAAGTTAAAGGAATTACCACCAGGTTAAAATTCAGAAAGTTCTAAATAAGACGTATCCTTAATTTCTAGCTATTTGAGGCCCAAGGAGTTTTACAAATCTATTTTCCATGGTTTGTGCTGGTTGTTTACATTTTGCATTTCACTCATCTTTCACATTTGACAATGAACTTGTTTTATTCAGTTTGAGTTTCAGGTTCTCCTGTGCTATGGTAAACTCTGAGACTGAGTTGAAGTAGAATCCAAGAAAATGGGGGTTGGAAAGGGACTCGGGAGGTCACATCTAGTCCAACCCTCTGCTCAAAGCAGGACCAGCCCCAACTACATCATCCCAGACAAGGCTTGTCAAGCCAGGTCTTAGTACTTGAAGGAGGGTGGGTGGGGAATGGTAGGGGGGATTGATTATCAGAAGCTTGTGTTGCCACTTCCTCACCAGCTCTGGGGAGTACCTAATCCCTCCAATGCCTATACGGTCTTAAAATTCATTGGAATTTCAGCATGTATGCTTTATTAAAAAAAACCCACAACATGTTGAGTACAGCAAATAGTGATGTTGACTGGAATAGTGGTGTTATGATGCTCTTGAGCACTCCCTGGCAATGTCGTCTGGATTTGAAAGGTTAAGATTCTTTTTTCCTTTTTTCCCCTTCTATGGGGGGTGAAGTCTGTCCTGTCCAGTCCCTCCAACTCCAGTTCCAGCTCAGACTCCAGTTCGGACTCAGATTTTGAACCATCTCAGAACCACAGTCAAGGTGGGATATTCTTCAGGTGCATCTAGTATTGTTTTTTGTTTGTTCCGTTTTAAATATATGTTACGACTGTTTCATGCCATTGTGAAAAACAAGCTTTTCCAGGACTCTCTCTGAGGCCAGGGTCCTAGTTTGGTTTTGCAGACAGGAGCTGATATCTGTGTTACTTTACAGCAAAGAAAAAAAAAGTAATGCCTTTGCATTTGTTGCAAAGTTTTTCTCTTCCTCTGGCACTTAGTTGGTGAACTCCTTATATACCCGTAGAGACTTGTCTGTTCTGATCTTAATTTTTTTAAAACTCAATCAATTGTGCTTACAAACTTCCAGTTTATAAATTCATTCAGTTCTGATTAAACTGCAGCCGCACAAGGTGCTGGCTTTCCTCTTCCAATCCCGGTTAATAGAAATAAGACCTGCTGATTGAATTAAATTCATCCCTTGTGCTCTTCCCTTTATTGTATTTCAAAGGCTTTGTTGTGTCCAGCAAGAATGCAAAAAGGTGGAGTATCTACCACTGTGTTCAGTGTATGGCTATATAGTAGGCACTGTGCCGTTACAAATATCATGTTTAGGACCATATTTTAAAAATGGGGCCTTGCATATGTGCAATAAATGTGTCCTTTCTTTTGGTTTTAATGGAAGGGTTGGGGAAAATAGATACACTCCTGAAAATATATGAAATGTTTTAAAGTAAGAATGTCCTTTTCAAGTGAATCTATATTTGGCCTCTCTTTAGTTTTAAGCAAACATGTAGGCCATGTCTCTCTTGCTGTATGTTTGAGTAGGAGTTTAACAACTGTGACACATTTTAAGAAATCATGTCACCTTTGGGTTGCATTAGAGAGAAAGTTTAGATTATAGCTGTCCTGTTGGGATTGAGCTAAATAACATAGCATTTGTGCTAAACATTTGCTTCCTTTTCCTCACTTGCTTCTAACACTAGGCCCATTGCGCTCTATGGTAGAGGATCTGCAATCGGAGGAATCGGATGATGACGACAGCTCTTCTGGGGAAGACACACCTGTCAAACCAAACCCAGTCAGCCGGGATTCCAGGTCATTATAAATCAAGATGGTAGATGCCTAGGCACATCCTTAGTTTGCATGTTTTATAACTTTTTCTGCATCGTAACTTTGTAAGGTGAAGGAACTGCAGTCATGGGGTGTGTATGAAGGCACAAGAGTTAAAGGATCAGATCAAGGACAGGTCCCTGAAGACCTGTGTTGTTCTGGAGGAACATACAATTAAGGAGTATTTAGTGAAGTGAGAGAAGAATTAGATAAGGATTGTGTCATGGAAACCCAAGAAAAGAGGGTTTTGAGGAGTATGACACAGTTGATAGGCTCAAAATTGCCAAAGTTATTTGAGTGGAATGAATATAAAAGAGATGCCCTGTGGGGCTGTATGGCCCTAATTAATTTTTTGTTCGTTAGTCAAATGAAAAATCAGAATTTCATTTCTGTTTGACGTGAACCAAGAAGCTTTTTCATTGGTTAAATGAAAAAAATGGAAAATTCCATTTTGGTCAGTCGAGGGTTTTTCCATTTGGGGGCTTTGATCCCTTTTTTAAAAACAATCTCTGAATTTTGGCAAATGTTAAAAAGGAAATGGAATTCCCAAGCAGAACATTGAAATGCCTTAAAAAAGCAAACAACAGAACCCAGTTAAAAACCCCTTGTTTTGACTTCTGAATTTTTTTCAGGTTTTTTGTGTTGAAACTGTTCTCCAAGGACGATCTGCATTTGGGAACAGTGTTAGTGACCTTGAGACCCCATTTTTCAGCAAATTAGCTATCTCCCCTCTCACTCTCTACCCTGCACACATTCAAGTGTAGTTATTAAAGGATATTTGGCGAGCAGTTTCATTGAAATACAGATGGCAGAGATTGGTTTAAAGGGAAGAGATAGGATAAGGGGTTAAGATGCTTTGAAAATGAAATGGGAGAGGAGACAAAGTATAGGGTTGCATAACTAATTCTGGACGTCACGACAGAATTGTGGTTTCCATTAAAAAGGAAAGGTATGGGTTTTCACAGTTGAGAAGCAAGTCTTTGAAAGATTTACTGAGTGTAACCAGTACGTTCTTGTCTTCCTGGGTTTGTGTAAAGCCTGTCGCATCGTTATCTATATGGCAGTGGTACATAAAAATGTCATTCCTGACCTGTGATCCCACAATGCTAGGCACTGAACAAGCATCAGAAAAGAAACCCGGCCTCAGCCTCCCGTCACTGGAGTGTTGACATCAAAGCTTGACAACACTTCAAAAGTCGGCATTGACTGTTTCACTGATGATTAATTTAGCAGATGGGATGCAGTAGGGGGTAGGAGCTAAGTCTGTAGCAGACTAGGTGTTCGGAAATGGATCAGACAACTAAAGAAGGGGAAAAAAGAGACTTGTGGAAACAAAGGGTGAGAGGAAAAGAGACAGGTGGATGGAGGAGAGAGACAAAAAGTAGAAATATGGTTTGGATCAGAAGCATTTTTTCCATGCAGCATTGCTGAATGTGAAGATAATTAATAGATTATATAGGAGCAGTGGTAAATATTTACTGTAGGAGCACCTGTATGGGAATTGCTTGAGATTTGTAGTCTCATGGGTTTGGATACTCTCATGCACAGCAAAGAGAAGGGTCCTTTCTTTGTGGTGGAATTACAATTTAAACATAGCAGAAACAAATGGTCAATAATTAAGGGGGCATGACAGGTCCAATGATATTCTGTAAGTGCTTTTGAAAAGTCTTCCCCCCCCCCCCCCAAAAACAAAAAATGCTTTTTAAAAACCTCCCCCCCCCCACCACTAAAATAAACCCCCCAAAAAAACCCCAAAATCACCAACTTTACTAAAGACCATATCTGCACCCTGCCTCAAATTTTAATGGAATATGAAGTTCATCCCTGTCTGTTGAAGGAGTTTGACACCTCTGATTCAGAGGTTAGAGAAGTAGCAAGAATGTAAGGATATCTGTTCACACTCTTATTTCAGGCTACCAATATACAGCCAAATGCTAGTGCTCGTTGAGAGTTGATTGACTGTTTCTCCCATGGGATTAAGCCAACAGCTGTTTCCTACTTGAGAATGGAAGTGGTTGGGTTTTGTGCTTATTTCTTCAGATGCCGCCATGGCCAACATCTGGCATCTCATGTTGGTCACTTGAAATCAAGCACTTGCCCCCAGGCAGTAGCTGTAGGTTTTGAATGGGGTCCTATATCCGCTACAGAATTCACTTCTTTGCTTTAGTTTCTGCTGTTATTACTTCCACACTGTTCCCACTGAGATGTGCTTTTCTAAATTTAATTTCTTCAACAGTCTGTATTTTAAATACAATTGAAATTTGTGGTGGTGCATCTGCAGGGTCATCACCTTAAGTGGGAATTTCAGAATCTTCCTCGTCATTCATTACAAAGTGGGTTACATTGCTTGTATACAACCATTGAACTTCTCTGTGGAAGCACATGCAATAATAAGATGTAATTTGGAACATTTGGCTTGTAATTTGGAGTGTACTGAAACCATGTTTTCTTGGGATTCTCTTCCATCCAATTAAGAGCTCTTTTAATTCATATATTTCACTTTCTTAATTAACCAAAAGCAAATTGTAGATTTGTTTTGCATTAACTGGTGATGTTGATTCTGTGCTGTTCTTTTTTTTTTCAGACTGAGCCTTAGCGACAGCGACAGTGATAACAGTGCTGATTCCTGCCTGCCAAGTCGAGAACCCCCTCCCAGTCAGAAGCTGCCCCCAGCTAATAATAAGGTATTTGTAATGTGGGTATCAACGCAATGGTCCATTGTTGGTTTTGGCCTGGATCTGCAGAAGCTAAGTGGTCGAGGTTCTCACTGAATGCCTTGGGAGCTTTGCTTGTGGAAGAACTGGAGGGTTATGCCCACAGAGCTGATTTTTACTTCGAGGAACACCATCCACTTAATCTAGTCACTTTGAGTTTCTGTTGCTGTGATTGCCTGTGGACGCCCTGCAAATGTCAGTGGCTCGGCAGTCCAGATAACGTGCTGTTCACAGAGAGATCTTACAATATACAATGTAAGCAAACTAGAATCTGTAAATAATTTGTTAGTGCAGCCTTTTAACTGCAGCAATCTGAGGTTACTTGTAGCAGGACCTGAAAAAGTATTTCAAGGTGAGTGATGCATTGGCCAGGATCTCTTTAACAGAATATAATATGGCTTCTTGGAAGTCATTCATGCTCTGAGAATTACGGTGACAATGGAGAGTAAAAAATATTGTCAGGTACCCAGAAATGTCAGTCACACATTTGGACTGAAAATTGCCTTGCTTCCTCTTCGGCATTTAGAAGAGCACCTTGTATTTGAAGCATCTTGCCAGCAGAATGGCAAGAAATCTAATAGAATTTGTAAAAGAGCGGTAAACTAATTTTCATGCCCTTATCAATGAATCTCTGGCACTGTACTACAGATTTTATATGATAACTAAAGAAGACTGTTTATAGTTAGCTGTAGGGTTTCATATCAAGATGAGAAGGAAACTTTCAGTGTTCCATTAGGAACATGATGCATGGAAAGCGTAGTCTAAAAGCCAGAAACAACTTGTAAGTGATATCCTAATTATTGTAGTTAGTGAGAAGACCCAACCCAAACTAGTGAAAACAAAGTGCTAGAAAACCTACTCTGAAGAACAATTTGGCACTGCTTCTAGGAACAGATTATCATAATCTTTCAGTCATCTCTCTTAATGTAACTTTTTTTGACAGGCATCTTGATGATCAGGAATTAAATTGGTTTGTGCTGGTTTGCAGGTACCAGGGGCATTATTCATCAAGGGCTTTAAACTTTTTCTTATTACATGGTTCACTTCTTTATCCAAAACTGAAAGATGCTGCAGTAAACTGTAGAGCTGCTGAGGTTACAGATCACCCTTTTGTTCAAATCGAGCAAGGCAGAAAGTGTTTTGTATTTTTCCAGTGCATAATGATGGAGAAATGTTTCCTTTTCCCCTCTTGCCTCCACTGCCCTCAATTCCTGCAGCATTGTTCTGTCCATGGTGCCATGGACTACTGGATGCAGCTCACTGCAGAGCTCCTCTTCTCCACTGTCCAGGTCAGCCAGAGGATTTCCTTCCATGGGCTGCCATGCACCCAAACCATTAAAGTTTCATCTTGCCTGAACTATTTTTGGTCACAAACCACTATGTGTGTGTTTGTTGTTCTTCAGGCATCTGGAAGAAAGAGTCCAGAATCCTGCAACAAGCCAGAAAAGATCCTGAAGAAGGGAACATATGACAAGGTAATTTGTTCATGCAGCGAGGAATTGCGGGAACATTTTTCATTAAAACAAGTGCTTGGATTGAGTTCTTGTCCATTCAGATTGGAACAGTTTGAGCTCAAACACAGAGATGCTAATGTCAGAAAAATGTTGACTTGGGAAAATGAAGTTCTTTCTGGTAAAGAAATGAATCCCATATCCTTTCTACCTTCAGCCTTTCGGAGAAAATCATGTGGGTTTGTCTGTTCTTTTGAAGGCACTTGTTGTCAGAGGTGCTCGGAGGGTGACTTTATTAACAAGATCTGTTTTGATCTTTACCAGAATGCTTCAGAATTGCAGTTCGTTTACTTTACTCTGCTGTGCTGAGCTTTGCACTCTCCGCTGAAAGCTCTGTTTATCTCGGTGGAAGTCCCTTTTTTCTCTCCTCGAGGGCAACTTTAAAAGTGTGTGTTTTTAAACAAAAAGCTCATTTCGGCTGGCTGATGTTCATCTGCCAAGTTGTTCTCTGCCCTGATCCTTCCATGGAGAATTTTTTTTAAATTGAAATTATTAATTAATACCTTTGTTACAGAGCCCAGTAGCTAGGATTGCTAAGAATCACAAGAGGGGGCTGTCAGATCAGACTGCAAACCATTTTCTTTTCTGCTTTGTGCCAGCCAGTTTGGATGAATCTGAAGTTGTGAGTTTGGCAGCAGGCTAGTAGGGGCTCAGATATTAGTACAAAAACATTCTCAGTCCAGAGAAGTGTGTGTTCTGGGAGTGACACTTCTCCCCAGGTGAAGTTTCAGGTTGTTGCACTGTAGTTTCTCTTGAATCCTTCCTTTGCGTTGTCATTATCTCCCAGAGGAGGAGCTCAGGTTTGCAGATATGCGCATGAAAAATGTGGAGGCAGCCTTACTGGCAAAGAATCTGCCTTCTGGGAGCCCTAGTGTGTCCTAGCAGTTGGGTCTAATTCTTTACAAATATATAAATATTAAAAAATTAAATTTGGGAGATGATCTTGGGCATCTGAAACTTTCTGTCCTCACAGAGGAAATGACATTTTGCCAGCAATGATGGAAATGCATCAAGTTTGTCGTTTTTTATTTCTCTTTATCCATCTTCCTTAGGCTTATACTGACGAATTGGTGGAGCTTCACAGACGGCTGATGGCGCTACGTGAGCGCAATGTGCTGCAACAGGTAGATATCCCTGTCAGTTTTGTGATGGGTTGCTGTTTGTTTCCTTGTGGCTTAGCTGGCATCTAGAATCTAAATCAGACCCCTAACCTTTGAGGGGAACCTGCAATTTCAGTTGCAGTATACAGTAAGGCAGTAACTTCTGCTGATTTTAAATAGGAAGAATCCAGGAATGCAGCAAGTGAGCACATTTATTTTTTTTTAAAAAAAGGGTTAAAATGCAGGTTCCAGGACCCTTTTTACCTTGTCTGATTTAGAGCCATACTTTACTTGAGTTCCTCTGAGTCCCCAGAAAAGAGGTAACTACTTTGGGATGTTTTAGAAGGGAAGTGGTGTGTCCATGCCTCTTTCAGACTGAACAAATCAATATGTGTATTTGTAGCTGGGCCCTTTCCTCATCAAAAGGGAACCTTTAAAATTCGTTTGGTTCATAAGGGCAAGAGAAGGGGGTTCAGTGGCTCACAACCATCCTTTCCAGTGCTTTGGTCTGCCTGAACTGAACTAGTCTAACATCTCCTCTCTCCTCCAGATTGTAAATCTCATTGAGGAAACCGGGCATTTTAATGTTACCAACACAACTTTTGACTTTGACCTTTTCTCCTTGGATGAAACGACCGTCCGTAAGCTGCAGAGTTACTTGGAAGCAGTGGCAACATGACGCTTAGTCTTGGAAATGGGCTGCTTTTGAAACCAGAAATCCCATCTCTTGGTACCAGGAAATAAACCCATGGAACTAGGCCTTCTTACTCTCTTGATTCACCCGAAGCACTGCCTTAGAGAACAGCCATGCTCTATGAATGCACAGCCAGCTGCACTTTCTTGTAGTCTTCAAACAAGTACCCATATCGCTGTCTGTCCTCCCTAGCTTCATAAGTACGCTTGGGCACAGGTACCAAGTAGCGCAAGAGACGTGCTGCTCCCAGCTGCACAAAGTGACTTTTTTGGTTTCACTTCAAGAAACTGTGTTTAAGAACACATTTCCAGGTGTCTCTGAGATCCGAAGAAATTTGGACGGTGGTTTCTTCACTAAATCTAGGGACCAGCCTGCTGGCAGAGAGGCTCAAGCGAGTCAGGTTTCCCCCAGCTCTGTGGAGAATTGTTCATGCTGTGTAGACAAGATTGGCTTTTACAAAGCTAGCCGTATGACTTACGACAGAAGGCTTCCCAAGGGGTCCTGTTGGTCTATTGCAGAGGAAGTGGAGAGATGCCGCTTTGGATCACTTGCAAGCTCTGTAGTGGTTTGGTACAAAGTATTGTCTCTAACTTGGTTCCTGATCCCTACAAGGTATCGTTCCATATGCAGAGAGTACAGGGCCTTATTCTGTGTTTCAGCTTCCTGGAGAGACAGTTTGTGCTCTTTGAAGAGGCTCCCGAATCTGCTGTCTCCCACTGGGGTTTTGAGACCTCTTGTTTATTGATCCAAGCTCCTAAACAAAGTCTCACTCCTTTCAGTCTGCTTTAACTGTAATGGGACTACAAAACTGTAAGCTGTATATTTTATATATATATATATTATATATATATGTATGTACTGTATGTATAAGAAGGGCCTAGTTGGGTCTTAAGATTTTAAGGGTGTGTTTTTCTGTTATGTTTTTTTTTAACGGCCATGGCAGGGGAGGGGACTTACTAAGATTTGACTTGTTTGTTTGTTAAAATGCCTCTTGTGGACAATTTTTAGCAGATGAAAGCTAAACAGCAATCTTCAAAGCATTTTGTGCTCTGATGGGACTTATCTGTCTTTCATTTTTTTCAGTGTTTGAATAACTTTGCCAAAATAAGTCATTGGTTTTTGTTCTATGTTCTCAAGGATGAATTTTCCTACAGTGGCCCCTATAATAGTGGCTGTATTCTGGGGGAAACCAAAACAAGGGAGTGTTTTATCTTGGGACATGCTTGTACAAAAAAAATGTAAAGATTTTGCCTGCGCAAAAAAGGGCAGGAAATAGAAAACACTAATCCAGAATATTTTATGTTCCTAGTGAAACTAGTATTAACTTCCAAATGCTGTCTGTGTGTTAACAGGGAGCAGAGGAGGTCCCACAACTATAATCAAAACTGTGTTAAACTCTTATCTGCTAAATTCAGTATTTTAAGAGAGAATGATTTTGCTTTTCCAATGAATATTTAAGCTTTTGCCAAATGTAAATAGGCTGCTGGCATAGCACTGCAAAGGAAGCTACCGGTCAGAATAACCCTACACAAACAAATGGACTTTCCAGCTCTTTTTGAAGTCTCTTGTGGGACCTCATTGAGGTATGAAATACGGTTTGAGAGCTCCCTCGATGTGCTGTCCCACCGGTCAGCGTTGAATTCCAGTCCCTTGTTTTGGATTACCCCTTTCTTTATCATGGAAATGTTGCAACTAATCGATTGAAGTGGCAATACGATGATAAGGTTGTTTGAGTTGGGTCATGTTGACCTGATTCCCGTTGATTTTTTTTTGTCTGTTTGTACCATCTTTCACATGTCTTTCTATAAACACCAAACTCATGCCAGGCCTGTGCCCTGTCATGTTGACAGTGATTTTTTTAGCTGTTTTTTTTTTTTTTTTTTCTTTCCTGATGGACAATTCCAAGCCTGGATCGAAACCCTGCTCAAGAACGCACTTCAGCAAGGTTGAGGATTGCTGGAAAAGGAGGGAGCTGCAGTACCATCTCAAGCTCTGCAACTGCATATGGCTTAGCTGGAGGAAGTCACGCCACAATATGCAACAGATTTAGCTTCTTAACTCTGCAGATCCTTTGTGCTGTTTAGGGCTTAGTGAGTATGTTTAAGCTCTAGAAGTAGTATTTGTTCAGACTTTGATGGAGGGAGTGAGTTTTGTCATGTTGCATAATATAAAAACAAAACAAAAAGAAACCCCCCAAGACAAATTTCTTAGGTATGTGAAGAGGTATTCGAAACCCCGGTATTGCCTCGATCCAGATCCTCCAGGGAAGGGAATGTGACGGGTGAAGCCTTTACCTCCCCAGAGCAGTAATAGCATCAGTGTCGACTGATTGGCATGTGTGGAAGGTCCCTGGATCTTTCACCACCTCTCTTCTCCCTAGATTACTTGCCTCTGTTTCTTCCATATCACCTAAATCCGCTTCATCCATAGCACCCACACGTTCAGTATTTTGTCCTGGAAGTATAAGTGGCTTCTAAAGCTACAGCACAAGGGACCAGAGACG